TTTATCTGTCCAAACCTTAGGCAACCTTGGAGGGTATAAGTTTGGCTTCCTGCATCGACATGTAGCTACTGACCACAACCTTGCCAGAGGGGCCCACCCACTGATCGTCTCCACCATGAGTTAACCTACACTGAATTGAGTGGCAGCCTTTAACTGTTCTGAGACTTCCTTGTGCATATCCAATCAGGTATATTAGGTTGGTGCAAAAGTAATTGTGGTTTTGGTCTTAAAAAGTAATAGTGAAAACCGCAGTTACTTTTGCACAAACCTAACAAATCCCCTAAGATTCAGACTTCAGATATTTCCAGGGAATAAATCTGGCATAGTTCCAAATGCTAGGAATATTGCACTGTATTCCCAGGGTCTCTGACGCTGCAGAGCAGTCCAGTCAGGAGATATGGGCAAGCAAATGGGGCCAAGACACACCTGAAAAGGTCTCTCCTGGTCTAGGCCCCAGGGAGGCTTCGTGGAAGATACAACACAGTAACTGAGTTTTGGAGGATGAGGAGGGGCAGAGAAGTGGACAAAGAGGAAGAGCTGTACAGAGTGATGGTCATCAGCCTGTAACAGCAACAATGGCCCTCGACATGGTTTAGTATTTGCAAAATGACTTCTGTAGAGAGAAAGCACTTTTGCTGCTGCTGGAAGGAGGCCAGGAGCTGTCTCCAGTCCTCTCTGGAGGACCTGCCCACTTCATCACTATTCTGAAGACTCCAACACAACCGTGGAAAGAACCAGCATGCCTTTGGTTCTGCACTGGCCTCCACGGTGCATGAACCCCCTAGTTGGGGATCCACCCAGCATGTACGAGGCCTTCATGCAGCTTGGCTGCCATGCCATGCCAACAGTCATCAAAGTAGCATTTAGCTTTGCTGACACCACTCAGACATCGCAGCAATAAGCTGTGCTGAGGTGGCCCTGTTATCTGGATGTACTGCAGATGTCCCTGGCAGGGGAGGCAGGCAGGGGACCTGGCCTTAGGAGCAGCAAGTACTCACTGTATCAGCACACATGTGATGATAAGGACAGCCAGGGCCACGATGGAGACCACCACCAAGGCGGTGATGGCCTGCTTCTTCTGACTGGCGGCCACCACAGCCAGGAGGTCCGCATGCTCACAGCGTGCACCAACGTACCCAGAATGGCAGCTGGGGAAGAAACGAAGTCAGTGCCCTCTCCTGACAAAAGGTCTTGTTACCCTAGCTCTCCACGGAGGGCTTGCCTGGAGGGACCCAGAGCCTGCAGGTAAAGCCCAAAGGGGCCCTGCCAGCTTTTGCAACTGGAGGGAAAGGTGTCAGCAAAATGCCTCCTGCGTCCCTGCTGCAGGCAGCACCGCTTATGTGGAGAAGGAAGGGGAATCGAATCATCCTTGTCATCTGAGGATGCAAGCTACGCCTGAAGCAATCCATGACTATTGTGACTGTGCCACATCCTGGAGGAATAAAGGCAGTAAATGTGTTCATGACACAGGCTTCATTTTGGCAGTTCATAAAAAATCCAGGTTATTTTTAAACCAAATGTGTATTTTCAGAATTTCTGGTGATGAGAAAGAAAACATCTGAACCCAGTGGAGACATAGGCTGTGGTTTGCCTTTTTATCTTCTTCATCAAGTTTAATTAGTTCTTCAAGTATCTACCAGATTACCCAGCACTACTACCTGGTCACTGTAGGACTGTAGATGTCACTACTCTCCTGTGAACCCTGGTGTCCTCCTGTCCATCAATACCTGGTCTACCTCCATACCAGGCTTAGTAAAGGCATAAGCAAGGTCATGTTTGAATGTGCGCGTAGCCTGTACAGTGTGGTGCCAACACCAGGTGATGTAATTCCTGGTATTGCTACCATTCAGAGGTTCTTTGGCATTAATCTTTTAATCACAGCCCCCTGCTATGCACGAGTGGGTCTCAAAAGTGCTTCAGGATGTGCCCTGGCCATAAGGATGGGATGGTCATTTTCTTCTACAGGCATCCCCTCACCCTGAGCCACTAATCCCCCAAGCATGTGATTCTTCTCAATAAAAGATACTTAGCTTAGACACTGGTCCCTTTGTATGGAGTAACATTCTTATTGTCAATAGAAATGTAAGATCACCACCTCCTTTGCCAGGGGGGACTTCTTTTTTTTTTTGAGATGGAGTCTCGCTCTTGTCACCCAGCCTGGAGTACAGTGGCGGGATCTCAGCTCATTGCAACCTCCGTCTCCTGAGTTCAAGCGATTCTCCTGCCTTGGCCTCCTGAGTAGCAGGGATTACAGGCACATGCCACCACGCCTGGCTAATGTTTGTATTTTTAGTAGCGATGGGGTTTCACCATGTTGGCCAGGCTGGTCTCCAGCTCTTGACCTCAGGTGATCCGCCCGCCTCGGCCTCCCAAAGTGCTGGGATCACAGGCGTGAGCCACCGCGCCCGGCCTGCCGGTGGGGACTTCAGCAGAGTGGCCCCATATCCTATGCTAGATTTAAAGTTTTGTTTTGTTTTGTTTCTCCCCTAGACATGGCAATGATAGCTAAACTTTTTAAAAGAGTTTATCTTTTGATTAATTAGCCTCTAACCTTCACTTTTAGATTAAAAGGCCTTTGAAGACCAGGCACACTGAGAGGGGATCACAGAACTCTGAATAAGGACAGTGACTTTCAATGGCTCAGGGGGCTATGGGACAGGGACAGGGTTTTATTGTTTGTTTGCTTGCTTTGATTTTAATAACAAAATTACATAAAGGCAAAGGTCAAGAAACAGCTCTCCCCGCAGGCACCAGCCCTTTCCTATGAGGTGGAGGCAGAGAGTGGATCAGACTCCAGGCTGAGAGGTGATAAGCAACAGTCTTAGGCAGTGCATAAATCTAAGCCGTCCATATCTCAAGAAAATCCTGCAAAGGGTCCCTCCCTCTAGCTCCTCAAGTTTTCACGCTGCACCCAGATGGCTCTCCGACCTTCCAGATGAGGTCCCTGAGTTGTGCGCTTCCTCTGTGATAGCTAGCCCTCTCTCCCACAGGGCCCTAATCCACGCCTCTACTTTATCTCCCACCCACCTAGGTTCCAGCCAATCCAAGTTGTTGCCAATCCACGTACTGCACCTAGCACAGTTCCCAGCATGTGGGGACTCAGGACACACCTGCAGAATGAATGAACAACTACCCTCCACTGTGAATCTCAACTCTGGCTACCTTCTCCACCTGCAATATCATTCTATCATTCCTCATCCTCCTCCTCAGGCTCCATTCCAAGGATCACATTCTCCAGAAGAATGTAATTTACAGACTCATTCACATTCCTTTTTGTCACCCATCCATCCATTCTTCCATAGCTCACTTTGATCTCCCTAACCTCTCCTCCTTGAACCCCCCAGGACTATGCCCGCCTTTCTGACTGCTCTTCTCCAACCAGCTTCACTTCTGGCCCCAGCCTTCTTGCTCTTGCAGGGCAGGGCCAGGCTTAGCTCTACAGAAACCTCTGGTGAACCACTGAAGGGAATGGGGCCGGGGAGCCTGGGCTTTGGAGTGGATTATCAGATTTGTAACCAGGAGTTGTAGACAAGCCAGTGAGACTTCTCTGCAAAAGGTTAGGGTTAGGGTTAGTGCTTCTTTCTCCTGGCGAAGGGTACCATAATGAGGATTTGCAGAGTCTTTTGTGAAAGTCTCAGGGTATAGGAAGGTGAACAACCCATGACAATTTCACACAACTTGAAACGTTTCTACTCTAACCAGCAGGCCCTGGGAAAGAGGGATTCTAGCACCTCGCCTATTATTCAGCTCTAAAAATGCTATGACTTAACACATCAATACTGGAGACCCCAGTAAATTTCATTTAAATAAAATAGTGGCAGCCAACTGCTAATTACAACATGTAACATTTACTGCAAGCAGTAGGCTAAACTCCTACATGAATCATCTCTTTTAATCCCAACAATCGCAACTGACCTGTGAGGTTGCAGCTATTACTTACCTTGTTTGACAGATGAAGAAACAAAAGCTTCTAGAGGTTTGGGAACTAACAGTCTCACCCAATAAGGCTACCTTTCTGGGTTAATGCAAATTGGATTGGAAGATACCCCAGGCTAGTGATTTAGTGACAAACACAAACCTGATCAGACACAAGAGATGGGCTACTGATTGTCCTGTAGCGAGGTCTCCTTGCTGTCAGTGTGGCAAGGTGCAAATGTGCCCTCAGACAGTGCCATCTTAACACACCAAGGGAGACAACTCCCTGGGCTGGGACACACCTTGCTGACTTTCCATGCTTTTTCTCCCAGAGGAACATTTGCCATTCATGCATGCTGGCCCCTGCAAATCAGCTCTACTTTAAAACCACCCCAGCAGGAGGCCCAGCCCCTTAGGAAAGTCTTCATGCCAACAAGAGTGCCTATCACTCTAGTGTAATAGCTGCAAACACTCAACTCCCAGTCCCACAGAGTGAGGGAGCCCAACATGCTTCTGAGCGAACACTTCCCCAAGGTGGGAGGCACGGGAGGCACCTGGGGAACTGCCTCATCGTTGGGACTCCAGGTCCTGACCTAGAAGAGCTCCAAGAACGCTGTGTCATAGCCCCAAGCAGCCCAGTGGGTCTCACCTACAGCTGGGACCTCCCAGATCAAAATCTCTCTGCAAGTGGGGCCAGGGCATTTTAAAGAAAGGACCAAAAGGTAATTCTGACACAGCCAGAGTTGAGAGCCACCATGAAGTTTTTAATAGTGAAACCAATGTTTCTCAACCTTGGCTGCTCATTGAAATTGCCTGCAGAGCTTTCAAAAATCCTGATGTCCAGGCCACACCTTTAGATCAATTAAATCAGAATCTCTAGGAGTCAGTCCTGAGCATCAAGATTTTTAAAGCTCCCAGCTGATTCTAGTGGGCAGGGGAGGGTGATCTTTTCTCTTCCTAGTTGTAATATTGGGAGTACTTCTCAGTTGCTCTTTATGACGGAAAAGGAAAAAGGTTTAGTGACATACTTAAAAAAAAAAACTTCCCAAGCTTCTACTAATATTAAACTTAATTATGCTGATTAGTTTAGGCACAAGTCACAGAAGGAGTGGGAAGAGTCACCTCACCTGGCTGCAAATCAATCATCACACTTGACCCAGCTGCTGTTCTCTCCTTGGCCTCAGGTAGGTGCTGGTTCCCACCTGGCTGCACATTCCACAGGGCTATGAGGCAGTGGGTGCACTAGGACCAAGGGCACGTGTATTGGACTCACGCATTCTCAGCCTTTTAAGAACCAGATTCACCAAGTCCTACAACCTCTGTGCTCTGGGGGCTGGGTAGGAAAGGGCTGGAGTATGGTCAGCCCTACTTACATACTCCTTCCAGCAGGACCTCACAACATCCCTTGGCTGCGGTGATGATGCCAACAGCGGCCACAATAGCAAACACTTGAGCTCATATGCTGTGCTGGGAACTGGGCTTGAATGTTCTCCGGTGCTGTCTAATAGAACTTTCCATGATCATGACAGAGTCTGTAGCTGGGCAGATGAATACAATAGCCACTAGCTACCCTGAGGTATTACATCCTTAAAATGTGGCTAGTGAGACTGAGAAACTAAATTTTAATCAATTAATTTAAGTAGTCCCATTACTTATGAGTCCAGTGGCTCTTGTCATAGGCAGCAATTGCTCTATATACATTATCATCACTGGGTCCCCATTACAATCCTATGAAGTATTAGTATCCTCATTTTGTGCACAAAGAAACAGAGGCTTAAAGGGGCCAAGTCATTTGTATGGGAGACTCAGCTGGACTTTACCTCTGTCTACCTGACCTCCAGTCCATGCCTTTAACTGCGGTGTCCTCCTGCCTGGTGTGTGATCCCCACTCTGGGAGGACCTGCACTTTCTCCAGACCTGTGGATGGGAGTGATGCCATCCTTCTTAACCCTACCCTCACCACCTGCTGATAGATCTATGTAAGGGGGCTCGAGTACCAACAAGAAAACTGCCCCAATCCTAATCTCTGGGGAGGCGCCACCTTGGTTACACAGGCAGCTGGCTATGAACTGATGGCAGTCAGGTCTCTTTGGGTGTTTGACTCTGTTCAGATTCCACTGGAATGTTCTGTGGCCAGGGCCAGGTGGAGTGTTTCCCTTGGCTGACAGGAATTTGCTTTCATACTTTGCTGTGGGAAACTTGTCAGGGAGTTGGGTCACCAAGGAGCATTTGGGACAGGTGAGAAACTTCAAACTGGTTGCCAGGGGTAAACTTGTCACCTGGGTGGCTTCCTTCAACGGCTTTCCTTTGTTTGAAGGCTTCTGCAGGCAGCAGACCAATGGTGTGAGGAATCTGCCTCGGGGAAAAAGTGATGAGAGTCCTAACCTTGCATTTCTATAGCTTTACTGTCTTTGCAAATTCTCTTCCCATTAGTTTTCTGCTGTGGTTGGGAGCTAGGGGATTTATTAAAGGGAGCTGTAAAATACTATCGAGGGTTCACCTGAAGCATAAATATCTAAGGCTAGTTTTCACCACCTTTGGCAGTCTGTGACTAGTTATTTGTTTAAACTTTTTTTCTTTCCCTCATTTTATAGTGTGAGATGCCATTTTAGGTTCTCTGGAAACCTAAAGACTGTTGTTCTTATGGAAGACGGAGTTTATTAGAAAGGGCTCCCTCTGGAGACTAGAATCCTGGCTCCCTGTGGGTTTGCTTGATGAGGCCATGACAGATGGGGCCTGACCTCAGGGTTTGCAGGTTTATTGACCAGGATGTGTGTGTCAGCTTCCCAAGGCTGGGCAAGTCACAGGAGCAGGGACAGAATGTTCTGCTTTCTCTACATGCACTCAAGTGTTTCTGGTCTAGAGGGAATTCATTAATTAGAACATTCTTTTGGGTACTATATATACAAAAAGGGATAAGGTATGGTTCTGTCTTCCCAGAGCTCACAAGCCATCGGGGGGTAAGGAGTGCTGCAGAGGGGCCTGTCCCAGGGCTGAACACATGCAAGCCCCAAGGGGTCCCGTGGATGGCAAAGTGAGCCAAGTGGGCTGGTGTAAGCAGAGCAGCAGGGCAATAGGGGATCAGGGACCAATGTTCCATGTTGCTGTCGGGAATTTTGGGGAGAGGTGGGGAATGAAGGGCTGGAGAGGGCGAGCCCTATCTGGGGCGGCACACCTGAGTGAGTCCCAGCTGAGGAGTTGCGTTTGGAAGTTCAGGCCCGGTGTTGCCATTCTGCTTATTCAAGAGGACACGGACGTCTGCATGGAAATGTGAAATCTGACTTCTAAAATGCTGACAACTGATTAAAGTCACCTAAGAACAGTGTGGCTCATTATCTGTTGCCACATAAAGCATTTCTGTAGACTGAATACCATCCCTGGGCCATTAAGATCCAGAGGGGAAAATGAGGCAAAGAGGTGTAATTGCTTGCATGGCTGTGGCTCCCCCAAGATGGTCAGCTTTTCCAAATGCAAGTATGTCTCAGCTGTCTCTGTAGCCCTGCACTTGGCCCATAGGAAAAACCTGTTAAGAGTCTGTGGTCAGGGGACTGGGCTTGGGGATGACCCTGACCTTTCTAAGGAGGAGGGTTAATTTGCAGGGGGAAGATGCCTGGAAACAAAAGAGCTGAGTGGTTTGAGGTGAATTTTGCCAAGCGGAGGCACAGCACCCTCTGGGCAGCAGCTGAGAGTATGGGTTCTGGCGCTGGAATGATGAGACTGAACCCCACCTCTGCCAGTTACTAGCTCTGGGACTCTGGGCAAGTTGCTCAACTTCTCTGAACCCCAGATTTCTCACTTATACAACAAGGGTAATAATCCCTGCTTGAGAGGGGAGTTGTGAGGGATCCATGGTTACGGTAGGCAGAGTGCTGGGTACCATGCCTGCCACCAACTAAGCTTTTATTGAGCACTTACTATTATTACTAATAGTAATGTATATGATGTGAATGTGGAGAGATGGCCGATCACCCTGATTAGCAAAGTGTAAGGGTGTGTGAATGTGATGGACAGTTATATTTCCCTTGGGCCAAGAGCAGGGCTTGGGACTGAGGGGAGTGGGAGAGCAGTCACCCACCCCAGCGTTCAGGAGGCTTCCAACACTGAAGGGGGGACTTCTCTGCCACACAGGTGGCTGTGGCTTGACTTGCCTGGCTGCCAGCTCTTGGAAAGTTTACACCAGCCCTGATCTGGTGGGGAGGGCACCTGAGGAGAAAAACTGAGCTTCTGACTCACTTTGGGTCAGAACTTGGTAAAGACCTGCCTTTTTCTCCAAAGAGGACTCTCTAAACTCATAGCCCAGTGCACAAGAGGCCTGTATACTTGATTCTGGGCCGAGCCCTGGACGTGGCTGGTGGGAGAGTACCTTCTGCCTGTTGCACAGGGAAGCTTTCTGGTATCTGGGTCACCAGGGCAAACTTCCTTCAGGGCCAGTGTTTTTCCACAATGACCAGGGCACCAATGAAAACAGCCCCATCAGTCCCCCAGGGGCCCCTAGTATGTTAATTATTAATAAGAATGATAATCATGAATAATGACAGTGTCTATCATCATCATCGTGCTTTGTATTAACAGGGTGTGGAGGCCTGTCATCTGGAGGAGTTTCTTAGCCCTGCGGTGTTCCGAGGAGGAGGGTGGCCAGTGTGCCTCTCCTTCTTCCTCTCCAGGTGAGGCTCAGAGGCACCCTGAGGGGCCTGCTCAGGCTCACACAGCTGCACCTCAGGCAGAGGAAAGCCCTGCCCACACCGCCTACTGCAGCAGGCTCTCCTGGTCCCCAGGCTTCTGGGCTGATGCATCTGATGGCCTTAAGCATCATAGCTAAGAACTCGGCTTCAGGAGCCAGAGAGGCTGGTTCGAGTCCAGGCCCTGCTATGTGAGCTGGGTATAGCCTCTCTTTCTTCTTCATGGGGTCAGTATGATTAAATGAGTTAGCACATGGATTATACTTCAAACAGTACTTGACATGAAGCCAAAACCTTAATAGGTGCCAGTTTTTATTAACGATGAGTATGAAATTGCTGATCCTCAACCATATTTGACCTGCAAAAACGGCAATTTCATATGGATCCGTGACTCTTAACTTGGGGTCAGTTTTGCCCTGCAGAGGACATTTGACAATGTCTGGAGATATTTTTGATTGGCACAGCCAGGGATAGTGGTGCTACTGGCATCTAGTAGATAGAGGCCAGGGATACTGCTGACACCCTTCAGTATACAGGTCAGTTTCCACAACAGAACTACCCAGCTCCAAATGTCATAGTGCCAAGGTTCAATATAGGTCCCCCAATAGTATTCTATTATAGACAGACTGATGGTCTTTAAATATGTCTTTCTGAAACTCACATGACTTCCATTGCCTAAAGAATAAAGACAGCTTTCAACAGGCTCTGGCCGCCAATTTGTCTCTAAGCTGGTCTCCTCTCTGTCTCCCTGGTGTAGCCACGCTGATCTGCAGTAGCAGGTCCCCCGAGCATGTGAGGCCTGGAACAACCTCTCTACTCTCTCCAGCTGGTCTAACCCTAACACCTGCTCTGGGGAGCTTTCTTCGAGTGACTTTCTTCCCCAACCTGGCTGACTGTGGCAATCACCGTGGCTCTGAACTAATGTGATTCCCAGCTCCCACTCCTTGAGATTCTGATTCCGTAGGTCAGAGCAGGGTTCAGTAATACTTCGAGAAGCCCCCCAAGGAGGATGATGATCAGCCAGGTGTGGAGACCACCATGCATGTCCTGCATCTTTATTTCTAAATTGCTCCTGGTTCTGTTACCATTTATGTACACTAGCCCTTCACCTGTGCTTCTGGCTTGTTTTATGACCTGGACTGTGAGGATGCTGGAGGCCAGAGACCACATCTTAGAGACTTTGGCCACTCAAAGGTATCCATCCCAGTGTCTTGTGCTCCAGAAATTCTAAGTTATGAATTAAATTTGAATCCAAGATTTTTCAGACTTTACTGGACCCATGAGTGACCTGAGATTCTTGTTAAAAATGCAGAGCCCCAGGCTTGAACTTCCGGGGGTTCTACCTCAGTGGCTGTGGGCTGGGTGCCCTGGAACCTGGATTTTTACCCAGCTGGTTTTGAAAAAGGTGTCCCTCAGTTCACTGTTCCAATCCTCTGACACATCTGGTTCCAAGGGTCTCTGGGCCTCTGGCAAGTCTTGTGGAGGTAAATGCTCTTCTAATTGGATGTCAGACTGAACCCGCCCCAGAACTCCAGGAGAACAGAGGATACTTACACACATGCTGGCTTGTCCTCCTGCACCAAAAACCTGCAGGTTCCATGGAAACAGAACTGAGTGTGGGAATCTGGGCAGTCATTAAAATGGGACACCACTGCTGCAGCCACGGGCGGGTCTGCTGGGGAGAGGAAAGATGCGGGGCTCAGATCCAGGAACAGCTGACATGCACACCCCACGCCTCCCACCCTACCAGTCAAGAAGGTGGAGCCCCCGATGGCTGGGACTTTGGGTTGTCACCTGGGGCACCCCCTCCTCGGCTCTCACTTACTTCCTAAAGCCTAGGACAGGCCTAGAGCTCCTGTATAGCATGCTTTCCAGCTTTTCGTTTTTGTAGACAGCAAAACAATTTTCCCCCCAAACTAAGGTAATTCAAAGATAACAGAGCAATTTTACTATTTCAACCCAAGAGCCACCTAATTTCACTTTTGCAAAGTGACAGTGATTTTTTTTTAGATAGCTTTCATAAGAATCTGTTTTGAAAGCAAGAGAAGAGAAAGGTACAAAAGAATATTCTGTAACCATTAAATTGATGCAGAAGCGGAAGAGTTAATGATACAAAAGTGCTTATGATATACAGTAAGTGAAGTAAATGGGTTTCCAGTAAGGTCTGTATAGGATGATCCTCCTTAAAAGCAAAACAAAACAACACAAATAGAAATTAGACATGAAGGAGTCTGGGAAGGACATGCACGAAAATGGTAGCAGGGCTTCTCTTGGTAAGATTAGGAGTGATAAGGCTATAAAGATTACTTAAAGCCCCATTACTAGGTATATACCCAAAGGAATATAAATCATTCTATTATAAATATACACGCATGCGTATGTTCATGGCAGGCCTATTCAC